GCAGAGCTAGGAATTTGCATAAAAGTCTAGAGCAGTGGTCTCCAAACTTTTGAAAGTGAAGATCACTTTTTGAAGTAAAGGGCAATCCAGGATCTACTGCACTCTCTTCCCACCCTCCAGACTGACCTGCAGATTGAGGCCCCTACAGTAAGGCAGCGAGTAGGGCAGGGGCATGGGCAGGGTGAGTGGGGCCCAGGCCGGGCCGGGAGAGGGTTGGAGCCCAGGTGGCTTGTCCAGGCAAGGAGAGCTTCTGCCGCTGCATGCATCCTGGTGGAGGCCTGGGAGGACACGTGCCCCACCCCGATCTTTGCGCAGGGTGAGGCAGCTGCTGTTGCGCACTGGGCTTTGCACAAAGCCTTGGGACACAAAGCCTCAGGGTGCAAAGCCCAGCACGCAGCGGCAGCCACCTTGCCCCAGACACAGATCCGGGGGGGGGGGGGAGCTGGCATGTGCCCTCCGGGCCTCTGCTGGGGTGCATGTAGTGGTGGGAGCCCCCACCATGTGCCTAGATGAGCTGCCCAGGCTCGGACCTTCCTTCAGCCCAGCCAGAGTCCTGGTGGTAGGGGGCGTGGAGAGGGATTGTCCCACTCACCCAGCCCAGCCCAAGCAGCAGGGGGCACAGCTCAGCCCAGCCATGTGTGTCCTGCTGCTCCTACATCCTGCTGCTCCTGGACTGTGTCCCGCCACTCACTATTGTGGAGCCTCTGATGGTCAATCTCAGCCTTGGGGGTTAGCCCCCCCAGACTGAGATCAACTGTCAGGGGCTCCTCAATCGACCGGTTGGTGACCACTGGTCTAGAGAGATGGTGAATGCACAAAGTTTCAATGTACAGGCAACCCCTGCTTAACGCGGTTTCAGTTAGCGCTATTTTGCTATAGCGCTCATTTAGAATTGATACCCGATTCCGCTGAGCGCTCAGCCAGTTTCGCTATAGCACTCAGTGGAATTGGAGTTTCGGCAGGCAGAGAGAAGTGGCGGTGGTGGCAGCGAGTGGAAGGTGAGTGGGTGGGCAGGCATGAGGGCCCAGGGCAGGATGGCAGAAGCACGGGCCCAGGCTGGCACCTGGTGCCGGAGCAGGCGGGGGGGGTAGAGACAAGTGGCTGCAAAAGAGTCAAGGAGCGCAGGACCCAAGCCACTGGCTGGGGCGAGGGCCAGCAGGGGCCTGCACCCAGGGTGGGGGGCAGGATCATGGGGCCTGCTCTGGTGTGTGGGGCCCGTATCAGGGCCAGTGGAAGTCTGCACTCAGAGCAGGGTGGCAGGAGCACTGGTGCTTGGGCTGGAGCAGGCAGGGAGGTTGGGAGAAACAGTAGCAACAAAGGGAAGTAGCATGAGGCTCACACCAGTGCCTGGCGGCAGGGGCCGGTTCCCGGGATGGGACGGCAGTAGTGCCAGTACCCAGGCTGGCAAGTGGGGCCAGAGGGGCTGGCAGGCAGGTGAGGGGGATGGGGAGAAGCGGCAGGAGTGACAAGCGTTAAGGGGGAGCTGGGCATGAGCATGGGACCCATGTCAATGCCCAGGGCCAGGACTGGCGGGGGCCCAGAGCGGGGCAACTGGAGCACAGGCCTAGGTTGGTATGTGGGGCTGGAGCACTGGCAGGTGGGTGGGGGTGTGGGGAGAGGCAGTGGCAGGGCAGGCAGTAACCAATTAATCTCTATTTACATTCATTTCTATGGGGAAATGGGTTTTGCTTAGCACTCAGTTTTTCTGGAACCAATTAAGAGCACTAAGTGGGGGTTGCCTGTATTCATCCTCATGCCTTTGCCTCTGGAATGATGCCTAGATGCTGAAGCAGCTGAGAAACTAAGAGAAATATTCTCCCTGTTTAGTAGGAAACTACAGCTTTTGCTGACAGACCCTCAGGGTTAATCAGATTCTGATGAGATCATCTGCAAAGGAATAGACTTAGATCCCTTTCTTGCTGCAGAAGACTTCAACTAGTGGAATACAAAAGGAGAACTGCAACAAATCTGTCAATGTGATGAAGTCATGTAGATGCTTGTTTAGTCGTGATTGATTTTAGTGTCTTCAACTGGAGCTTTTTTTTGCTATTGAAAATTGGTAGTTTTGACTTGTCTTGATAAAGCTATGGTTTTCTTTTTTTTTTTCTGGTTTTGGCCATTATCTTGTATATCTAGTCACAGACTTGTCCCCTCATGCCTTTCTCCACAATAGATATCCTGAGTTGTCTTTTTTGATTTAGTTCTCTGACTGTAGCGTTCATTGGACCACAAAGAGTGTCCAGCTTAGCAAGTTCTGGAAAATGTCATTTGTGAAAGTGGCACAGGAATTGTTCATGATGGACTGGTTGGTCTGGTTCTTTGTTCAGGCTAAGATGGCTCAAGGTTGCAAAAAAAATGACAATGAGTCTCTGAGTGCAGGGTTGTCCTGCTGCTGCTGCTGCAGCTTTGGGAGAATTCTGTTTCTCAACAAAACAGGCCATTGAATGGGACTTGTACTTTTTCAGGCATTAGGTTTTTTTGGTAAAACTGGATGTTTCTTTGGGTGAAGCAAGTTTCTATTTGTTTCTTAGAATGCACACCTTCTTAATATGTCTCTGAGTGCTTGCATTTACAGTAAACTCTGATTTGCCACTTTAAGGAGAATGCAGATAATGGCATGTTATTGAATGGCAGGGTTGGGGGATGGGAGTGAAGTGATGCTGCTGGGGAATCGGAACAAAGCTAGTTTAAGCAATAGTGGCAAATTAACTAGAGTTTTTTGTGTTCAGCTTCCTCACAGCTCTGAACACATCCATCTTGCTGTGTATTTACTTGAATCTAAGGCTAGCCCCCACCCCCAACATAGGGGAGGAAAGGTGGCTGCTGCAGCTCTAGTCCTAATGTAGGCTGAGGGCCAGAGCTCCAGCAGCCTCCTGCCCTCTTTGCCTTCCCCACCTCCTCCCCCCCAGCCCCACTTGCCCTCTGCAGCTTGTGCGCCTTCCCCCTTACTGTCAGATGCCCCTCAGCTGCGGCTTGGCCCATGGAGCTTGTGGAAGTGGTGTCCCGTGCCTGGCCAGTCAGCAGCACTTATACTGCCACGTGGCCAGCGGGGACTGCACTTCTACATGCTGTAGTGCTATGTTCCAGGAGGGAACAGAGCTTGAGCAGCTTTTGACAACAAGGGGTGGGGAGGGGAAGAGGCAAAGACTGGGGAGTGGGGGAAAAGGGCAGACATTTTCGAGTAAAGGGCAGAGGCTATGGGGAGCTAGGGGGTAGGGTGTGCCAGTGGCAGGGCAGACAGAAAGGCTGAAAGGGGAAGAAGTAGAGGGGGCAGAGGGCAAGGGGGCCACCTGATCCCCCGCTCCCCCTTTTCCTATTATAGTCGTGAGGGGGAGGGGGCACAAATTTAAGAAAACCCTCCAATAATTAGATTCTATACTGGAAAATTATAAATTTTCTATATATAGAATCTAATTATTGGGGTGTTAACTTAATATTGGAGTAAATCGAGTATTTTGCTTTCATTCTATCCCAAGTACTTTAGGGAGCTTCCCTGTCCTTTTATGGGACTTTACAAGGCTATTTCTCTTTGAACTCTGCCTTTGATTTGAGGGAGGGATGGTAACATTCATGGTGACTTCCTTAATCATGTATGCAGGCCTGATCCTGAAGGGAGCAGATGCTTAGAATTGAGTCCCAGACTCAGGCTTGTTGAGAGAGACTGCTTCATGCAGTGGGTGATATAATGGCTTGTTTTAATCCATTGCTGTTGTAGTACCAATGGCATGTATCTGCAGCCTATCCCAAGGTTGCCATTTGTTCAAGCCAAGCAGGCTACTACTACCCACTCCCCTGCTATATTGTGGTGAGGTGCAGCAATAGCATGGTTTTGCACGCTGATATAAGAGTAATATAAATTATATCAATAAGAATGTTTAAGATACTGGGTGAGCTAAGGAAGAGGTTTAGGGGATGAACTTTTTGTTCTTCTTAGCACACCTTTTCACCCACAGTACTAGGAAAAAGTGCCTCTTCAATAATAATTCTGGTTAAGGAGCTAAAACAGCTAAAACAGTGGGTGCTACTGTTTCTGGCATGCACACCACAAGCTTCTTGAGTGTCACTCCAATCCCCATTCACTAGAGGCTGTATGGGCCACTTGTGATGCACGTGCTGTGGGTTGGCCAACACTGTTCTAAAGAGTTCACTAAATGGGCTAGATCTTCTATCCAGAGCTGCCTTAAATCCAGATTTGAAGGACTTTGTAAATGTTAGAGAAATTTTGATAAATTTAGATTGAGTGCCACCATTACAAACAAAAACTTTTTGTCTGTCACTTGCATAGCTTTGAAGGAAAAGAACTTGTGGCTGCATAATAGGCCTGTGATCACCTAGCCTTAAGTCAGGAGTGAGAAGGGAAACATCCAGCGGAATGTTTGTCGACATTGGGTCAAGAAAAATGTTCCTTTTGCTCATATACTTAAACTTCCTCTTTTGATAACATGTCAACACCCTTATGCAGTAGAACAGAAGCCTGACACGAGACCAGAGTAGGGCCTGCTGCCTATATCTTGATGCAGACAAGACACTAAAGTTAGGATTGGGAAAACAGTGGGAAGATGAGAGTGAAATTTTTATAAATAAAGGAATGTCAGCTGTTCTGTAAATAAAGCTCTGAATCTGGGATTGTTATATTCAGTGCTATGTCTGAATGACCAAATATTTATGCTTGGTTTATTTTTAGTTATAAGCACAGCTTTTTTCTGAATCACTTTCTCACATACATTTAAAACACTGCAGAGTCCAATGCCCTAATGTTAAATACCAGAAGTAAGACTGCCTGTACAATTTTAGTTTAGCTTCCTACAGGCTTGTGCATTATTGTATAATCTTTAAAAACATTGTATGCATTTCCTTTAGGACCCTGTCCTATTTGTATTAGAGATTCATCATCTTGTTTACTTACTCTTAATCAGCATGGCCTCATTCCTTATTTGCTGCACACTGCTGAAGCATAGCTCTGA